GGACTGCAAAATGAAGAGAAGAAAGAAGAGAGCCCAACTGAAAGCAAGAGGGAGCCAAACAAGAAAAAGAGGAAGATGATTTCAGAAATTATTTCTCATGAAGAAGATACTACTATACAGTGGATGTCATCTGTGGAAGCAAAGATCGAAGATAAAAAAGTTAAAGGAGAAAATAAACTAACATCAGAGAAATTGGAACATCTCCGAAAGGAAAAGATAAACTGCTTCCGGAACAAACACAAAATTCATGTCCAAGGAACTGATCTTCCTGATCCAATTGCTACATTTCAGCAACTTAACCAGGAATATAAAACTAATTCTCGACTGCTTCAGAACATTCTAGATGCAGGCTTCCATGCGCCAACACCAATCCAAATGCAAGCCATTCCAGTTATGCTGCATGGTCGGGAACTTCTGGCTTCTGCTCCTACAGGATCTGAAAAGACTCTAGCTTTTAGCATTCCCATTTTAATGCAGCTGAAACAGCCCACAAATAAAGGCTTCAGAGCACTGATTATATCCCCAACCCGAGAACTTGCCAGCCAGACTCACCGAGAGCTAATTAAAATCTCCGAGGGCACGGGATTTAGGATACACATGATCCACAAAGCAGCAGAAGCAGCCAAGAAATTTGGACCTAAATCATCCAAGAAGTTTGATATTCTTGTGACTACTCCTAATCGACTAATTTATTTATTAAAGCAAGATCCACCAGGAATAGACCTAACAAGTGTCGAGTGGCTGGTGGCAGATGAATCAGACAAACTGTTTGAAGATGGCAAAACTGGATTTAGAGACCAGCTGGCTTCCATTTTCCTGGCTTGCACATCCCACCAGGTCAGAAGAGCTATGTTCAGTGCAACTTTTGCATATGATGTTGAACAGTGGTGCAAGCTCAACTTGGACAATGTCATCAGTGTATCCATTGGTGCAAGGAATTCTGCAGTGGAGACAGTAGAACAAGAACTTCTCTTTGTTGGGTCTGAGACTGGAAAACTTCTGGCCGTGAGAGAACTTGTTAAAAAGGGTTTCAATCCACCTGTTCTTGTTTTTGTCCAGTCCATTGAAAGGGCTAAAGAACTTTTTCATGAGCTCATATATGAAGGTATTAATGTGGATGTTATTCATGCAGAAAGAACACAGCAACAGAGAGGTAACACTGTCTACAGCTTCAGAGCAGGAAAAATCTGGGTTCTTATTTGTACAGCCTTGCTTGCAAGAGGGATTGATTTTAAAGGTGTGAACTTGGTGATCAACTATGATTTTCCAACCAGCTCTGTGGAATACATCCATCGAATAGGTCGAACTGGAAGAGCAGGGCATAAAGGAAAAGCTGTTACATTTTTCACTGAAGATGATAAGCCATTATTAGGAAGTGTTGCCAATGTTATACAGCAGGCCAGTTGTCCTGTACCAGAATACATAAAAGGTTTTCAGAAACTACTAAGCAAACAAAAGAAAAAGATGATTAAGAAACCATTGGAAAGGGAGAGTATTAGCACAACTCCAAAATATTTCTTAGAGCAAGATAAAGGTAAACAGAAAAAGGTCACTGGCCAGAAGAGCAAGAAGAACGTAGCTCATGAAAACAAAAGTTAAAAGCAGACTTCTTTTAAAAAGACTCACAGAAATGTAATTTTATGGTCCCAGCATAAATGTTCTTCAAGACTTGTCATCACTGCTACCAGACATTTGGCATCAAGTCCAAGTACATAAAACTATTGGAAAATGATCCTAAACTACTAATGCATCATGTCAGATTTTGATTTAGCTGAAAACTTT